GATAAGAGAGCAGAGTTACCGCTCCCCTTACAGAAAATAAAGAGGCTAGGACAGAAGTTTAATTAGTGAAGCCCAAACACATCCCCTGCTAGGACAAGAAAGAGCAAAATCTCCAGTCCAGAGTTATAGGCTGTTCCACATTTCTGTCAGGCAAAAAGACAAAAAACCTCAAGCGGAATTCAGAGAAAGCGCGGTGGCCAGAATCACAACCCACAAACAGCTGTTGAGCTGGCCAATGGCAGGGAGCTGTAGCCTCTTGCATTAGCACCAGCACAAAAGAAGAATAGTCACCTTTAACCTTCTGATTCTCAGAATTGTAAAAACAAAAAATTACTCCTTTGTGCCATGGACTGACCTCTTCTTGTAATGAAATGTTCCTGGGCATTTAATAAACCAGTTTCCTGCTTAACTTTTACATTAGAAATCGAGCCCTTGTTTCCTTCTGTTTGGAGAACATGAATAGTGATGTTACATAAGGGTGTAATTGGAGCTTTTGCTTCCTAGATTGAGGAGGGGGACTGGTGGATCAGGTTACAGCTTTCAAGACTGGGACCTCACTACCATGGTGTCCAAAAATCTTGCCACATTCCTCCAGTAAATGGGGGCAGTAGTGACTGACATACCCCATATTTTATTAGTCAAAATGGAGAGGGAACTAAATAGCTTGAGTCCATATTCATGAAAGAGTAGTGTTTGCTTTGCTTTCCACTATGTACAACTCGGGAAATTTCCGAATTCTTAAAACATAAATCACTAGGAACACAGTTTTCCATTTTGATTTATTTTCCACTGGCATAATAAAACAGATGAATGAAATACAAGGGAAGATGTATAGGACAATTTTGCATTTAAGATGCCATAAAGAAGATCAGTGCTCTGACATAATGTCTAATCTAACCCAGTATATTAACACCTGACCAGGTTAGTACAAATGAAAGAGGTACATATGTAATAACCACCAGATTATTCTATAGTAAAGCACAGCTGCCCTACAGACTATATTCCACTTCTCCTTTCTTCCTTTTCCCTTGCAGCTTCCCAACTACTCTACTTCTACTATTACTGATGCTAGGGAAAGATGAGATCAGAAACCAGCGTGAGGAATTTGTGTTCCCACAGAACTCAGAAACTTGATGATCTCAGAGGATCATGTGAAGAAAGACCCCTGATGCTTTCATAAGGAAGAATGTCTTCTGTACATTGCCAGCAGTCTCTTCAGAGCATACAGTGGGAAAAATGAATCTGCTGCTGATGTTTCCAATTTTTTTCTTCCCACTTCCTCCTCTCATCTGACTCTCTTTTTTGTCCCTTCCTTTCCTACAGAAGCACAAAAAGGTTCAGCGATGTATACCTGCCTTCCTAAAATAATCCTGCTTTACATCAAGTTGGAAGGGGCTAGTTTAAGTACTAAATCACCTTAAAGTCACAGTCTGTCCTCTCTCCCCTGGGTCCCTCAGACCTCCCTTATAACGCTAATTTGATGAGGGATTCTTGAAAGTAGTAAAAAGTCTTAAGCCAGCCAGTCACTGTTCTTTCTTTTGATATTTTAAGAATTCCTTCACCTTCTGCTTGGCCCAGACTAGTCATAATCCTATTTGCAGTGTTCAGAAAAATAGAAACCATTAAAATTTACTACATACTTTCCAGAAACATTTTTTTTTAAGTATGGAGGCTGAGGGTACTGGACTTGTAGTAATTCAAAATACCATCTTTTGGTAAGTGTTGGAAAATGCTACCTGTGATGATATAGTCAGTAAACATCATTACAAAAATCAAACCAAAGTCAGCATGCAGCAGGTAAGAACACTACTGTAAACCCACATTTTTATAATCAGAAATAAGTAGGAAAGTCAGAAATTTAAAAAAAAATGTGAATAGAAATTATATCATCCTTTAATATGATTAAAGTGATTAACTCCAGTCAACGGACGTCAAACTATTTCAACCTCTTAGCACAACTGAGTCGGCATTTGGGAAAAGCCTTGCTTTTGATACAGGGCTTGACAAAGTGATGATTCATACAGGGAAGGATGGGCAGCCTACTGCCAGCCTAAATTCACAATTAACAATGGGATAGCCGGATATGGGAAAATCATGACTCAGCACCAAAACTGCGAAGTCAGCCCTGTTACTGGACCTATGATTTTTTTTCCAGTAGCAATCCCTATCCTGGCCTTTTGTTAAGCAACCAACATAAAAGCTAACTGCTCTTAACATGTGTTATTAATATTACGTGAGCTAATTGGGACAATGGCCATGCCTTATCTACATAGTGGTGTACGAATCCATTCTGCCTCAAACCATACACATTCCATGCAAGTCTTTTGAAAAGTCCACAGGCACGTGCACAAAGTAGCGAGAATTAATGAAAGTGGAAGGCGATACTCCCCCCATACCAGTGCCTTTTCGAAAGTATTTGTCATTGCATCAGCGTTTGCCCTACTACCAAAAAGTCCTGGTTAGAACAGATGTAGTTAGAAGGGAATGTGCATTCGGTCTTCTTTTCAAAGGAAGCCACACCCGGGTGTATAACTGGGCATCCTGCTGGATCACATCGCTATATGCACAGACAGCTCTAAACAGCCTGCACTTGAATATTTTGGGTAAATTACACCCTGTAAGTTTGGGCACCTAAGTAGCTGTCTGGCACTAGAAAGCCCTCCCCAGAAAAAGTCTCCTCTCCTAAAACAGAGCTGATCTTGAAATGTTAAACAGCTCTGAAAGATACTGCCAGTCTCTTCCTGCCTAAATATATCTTAGGAACTGATTCTGGTGCACTGCTCTGCCCCATCAACTGAAGTTAAATGAAGCTTTACACACAAGGTAATTACCAGGGGGAAGAAAGCAGAGGTAACAATCCCCTCCCAGGGAACCACACACCCATAGCTGCTTTTATTTTTGTTTGGGGGGAGGGGGAGGAGGGAGGTGATGGACACATGGAAACTTTGACACATTTCAGGTGACAGCCCTTGTCCGGCACACATGTACAGTGGCACCCCTGCCCCACGGAGGCAGCGCCTCTGCATGCAGAGATTGCAGACTGAAAGCAGGGATCACTCCTGATGGGGAAGGAGCTTTAGGCCAAGCGGGGCCATCTACAGCTCCAGGACCCACTGGCTGCTTGCTAAGGGAAGCCCCAACAGCACTAAGGATGCCGAGGGAAGGAGTCCTTGGGAGGGATTTCCAAGGCAAGGTTACAGCTGGAGGATCCGGCGTTTAGCAAGAGTGTGTCCTTCTGCCGCTTCTTCCCAGGCACTCGCCCGAGCCGGGGGACGGGGCACGGCTTCACCCCGGCACGCCCAGCCCCCGCGCCGGTGACTCCGGGGCAAGGGCAGAGCCCGGGCGGGGGGGCAGGGGACGAAGGAAGGAGGCGGCAACAAGCATGGGACTTGTCGCGGCCGCACAAAGGGGCTCGCCCCGTCGGCGGGAGGCGGCCGGACAAAGGGGCGCGGGCTTCGTCCCCCCGGCGGGACACGACCCCTCATGGCCCCGGCCGCTGCTGCCCTGGAGAGCCCGGCCTCCCCATCCCACAGCGCCAACGGGGGCGGCGCGGGACCTACCTCTCCCCTGGCGTCCGCCGCGCCGAGAGCAGCCGAGTGTAGCGAGCCCG